AACAGTTGAGTTAATGGTGGTTGTAGTGTCACTGTAATCAAGAATATAACGTTCCGGTACTTGAAAGTTCTGTTCATGAAAATCAGCATAAAGATTGGCCTTGTCCAAAGATGTAGAAGGTGCAGCTCCATCAACAAGTATAGAATAGGAAGGAGAGCATTGTTGACCTGTGAGGAGCTTAAAACGGTTCCAGAATTGCGAGGAAGAAGAGGAATGACTGAGTTTGTTACATGCCTTATGCCATCGCTGTGTTGGACTGCCCAAACAAAATTACAGGCAGTATGTTGAAGACCCTGGAATCGTTGCAGCAACAAGGGATCATGAAACCGACAGTATTCACGCAATAAAGTGGAAGAGTGATGTAACAGATCTACAGCTCTACGTGGTAAGGCTGGTTTATGGGGAGCTGAAGAAGACGTCAGTATGTGTAAAGCACTGGCATAAGAGAGAATAGTGATGAGTAATGTGGCGAAGGAGTCATCTTCGGCTGTTGTAGTAAGAATTCGATCCATATCTGGTATGGCACTAGCAATGTGTGAGGCATAAGATTTCCAGTCAGCAGAACGAAAATTTAGATGAGTCCGACAGGAAGCACGAGGAACAGACAAAGACTGCAAATGGACACAAAGTTCTATGGGGAGATGATCACTACCCACTGGAGGACACATTTGGAGAGTGATAAAAGGAACCAGGTTGGAAGAAACAAATACAATATCAGGCGATGAATGAGAATTTGGATGACTAGGGGCAGGCAGGGTTAGCAAAGAGCCAGAAAAGGAACATAGGGAGGACTGAAAACGTACAAGTTTGGCAGAGGTCCTACTGTGGTAGTTGACATCAGTAAGAAGAACATAGCTGTGAAAAGAGTGGTCCAGAAAGGAGAGAAAGGCATTGGGCAAGGGAACTCTGGGATGAATGTAGATAGTTGCAATAGTGATGATACGAGATGGGAAGTAAAGAGTGGCTACGAAATGCTCAGGGTAAGTGGACTGTGGAAGGGAATATAGGTGTATGGGAAGGCGAGTACATGTAGCGATTGCCACATCGCCTTGGGCTCTACCCATAGAATTATTATGGCAATGAAGAGTGTACCCTGACAGATGAATTCTTTGAGTGGGTTTCAGAAAAGTTTCATTAAGGATAACACAATCATAGCTCCCACCATCTAGCAAGATCTCCAGGATGGGGGGGGGGGGTGAAGAAGAGAGCGAATAGTGACAAATAAAAACTTCAACTTGTAGTCTCTGCCGGATCCCATAGACGACTAGATAGGTAGTGAGAGTTAAGTCCAGAACAAGTGGTCTGCATGTGAAGGCGAAAGACAGTCTTACCAGCATGGATAATATGATCTAGAACTAATGTACGTTGGAAGGGGAGGACATTCTGTAGTATTAATGTGATGAAACAGATGATATCCTCCGTGGTAGGAGACATAGCAATAGAGTTGTCTGGAGGGGTAATGGTATCGGTGGTATGTACTGGAGCAACAGAAGCAGGATCATCAGTCTTGGTGGTAGGTTTACCCTGACACTTAGAGGAGTATATAGGATGATCAAAATGGCAAGTGTTGCAGAGGGGAGAAGAGCTTAAGCGAGAGCATTGGCAAAGGAGATGAGGTCCACGACAATGAGAACAAACTGGTTGGTTACAGCATCTAGCAGTGGTATGTGAGTTGTATAATAGGCACCTCTCACAGTGCAGAGCCTGGGGCAGTGAAACGGGAAGTTTTAACCTGTTGTCGTTTACGGAAAAGAAATGCTCCATTAGACAGAAGATGATCTATAGTTTTACTATTCTCAACCAAAACACGAATCATGAAGGTAGGACCTGAGTAATTTTGAATGCAAATGGCACACTTGATTGATATATTTTCAAGTAGAAGTTCGGAAAGAATCTCTTTTTCAGTGATGCCAGAATCAACGCCACGAATGACAAAAGAGAAAAGAGGTGTGCGACGAGGAGGGGGTTGTTGTTTTAGAGCAGGAGAGCGAAGTTGAGTGAGCATGGTAGACTGACCCAGATTAAGCAGTCCTATTTTGTTATGTAGTATATCACACAATTGGGGGTTACCAGTTTTTCACAATTATGCCATTTCTTGTTGATTAGTTGATGAACGTCAGAACGAAGGCAGTATTTAGAAAGTTCGAGAAAGAGGGTCCTGGTAGAGTAATATGGGGATCCATGTCCGAAAGTAGTAGCACAGTAATCTGAGGAACTTCAGTAGTTTCCATAGGTCCGAGCACTTCACCAGAATAGCCGGATCGAGTGGAGGCAGGAATCGACTGAGTAACAGTGGTAGAGGCAGGAACGGCAGACAAAGAAGAACCAGCAGGAGACAGTAGAGGTAGTTGAAGCAGTGGACGACGATGAGGCAACAGCAGCATACGACACTCGCTGGACATCCCTAGTAGTTGAAGAGCTATCCGAGTACAAGCAGTCGGCCCAGGATGAAGAAACACCAAGGGTTGCAGGCTTCCAAGGTACACCCTCCGAGGGTCGGGAATAAAGTTTTGGACGAACACGACGAGGCGACTGACCCAGTTGATCCGACATAGTTGGGCGCTCAACAATCTGAGGCAACCCAGAATGCATGGGCACAAATACACAAATGAAAAGTAATAAACAAGTAAGTAATAACTGTCAAAAACACTCACCAAAACGAACCACACTCGAATAACAAGACGAACTGCAGAACTGATAACGAATCCGATCTTTTCAGTCTCGAAACAATTGTTTCAATATCCAATCTCCGAATCTTTTTTGTTAACAATAGATATTATGGCAAGATTTATAAAAAATATAATTTCTTCTCGAAATGGTGTATTTAAGTGTTTTACACTCACGAAAAAGAAACCTATCATTCTATAGGTATTT